ATAGGTGAAATTTTATTAATTTCTTATTACTTGGTGAATAGACTTCCAGTTGACTACTGGATTTAGGATTTAGAAATTAGCAGTAGTACTGCAGCGACGTAATGAAGATTCTAAAGAAGATTAGGTAAGTTAGTATTTTTAATCATTTGAGGATATTGTTTTTATGCATTGTTCCAAATGTAAGGAGTAAATAAATTAATGTGGTATTATTGGAAAATTGTTATTAGCAATGATTTAGTTTAAAGTAATTAGGATTGTAATCTAATTTTTATTAATTTAATGTATGTGCTTATTTATATTTTAACTAGTGTTTTTTAATTTAATTATATTTTTAATTTAATGATTGTGATTTTATGAGTTATATATTTGTAGTATTTTGGAATATGTTTGAGTAGAATACGTTGAGTATTTCCATGCATTTTCGTGAAATTTTTCAAATTTATGACAAAAAAGCAGTGTACATGGATATAGTGAAGAGTGTGCACAATGCCATTTTTGTGCAATTCTGGGATGTTTTTTTAAGTTAAAATAAGTCGACGTGTACATGGTTTAGTGATATTTTAATTAAATGATAGTTATTTTGTGAATTTTATGTTTGTAGGAATTTGGTAGACGTTTCAGTTGAAGTAAACGTGTAGGGGAATAATTTAAATATTTGACACTAAGTATTTGTAACTATTTTTAATGTTTGTGTATAAATTCGTTAGTGACGTTTATAATATAATAGATAATTTAGAGGTAAAAGCTTTTGGATATTTTATTTATTTTATATGTGGAAATGTTCATCCTTGGAAAGGGTATGTACTTTTTCGCGATCAGGTAATTTCATATATGTGCTTTTTATCGAGTTTAAAGATTAAGAAAATTTTCCTGCATTTTCGTGCAAATTTTTGTAATTTATGAGAAAATAGCAGTGTAGATGGATAAAGTTAAGAGTGTGTGCAATGCCATTTTTGTGCAATTATGCGATGTTTTTTTTTAAGTAAAAATAAGTGGACGTGTAAATGGTTTATGTGTATGTGCTATTCTGAAAAACGCGCAAGGAGTTTGCGATTCTACACTTTTTCCCAATTTTGCAGTTAATATTTGTCATGATTAAGCAGTTTTGTTAGATAAAATTTCTAGCATCAGTGTAATTCGGCTAGTAGATTGTTGGAAAAAGTGTTGAGTAAATAAAAAGAAAAGAAACATGTCTTTACTTCGTGAAGACAAAATGGCGGCGAAAAAAAAATAGAGGGTTGCTGTAGCAGAGTTGGTCGTCAAATTTTCGCAAAAAAATCGCCAAGTTACCATAATCCAAAGATCAACCGAAAATAATATTTAGAATTGAAAGAATTTTAGCAAATGACCCAAGATATGAAAGGAATTGGCTTTTTTATAATACTTATTTCATCAATTCTTTTTTATCTCTAAATTGATTTCTTTCTCAATGTATTTTTTTTCTGAAAGTGAATACCAAATGGTACGATTGGTATTATTGACAGTGACAAGAAATATATTACCATATTTGTATTAACTACAGTGGTTTTCCCATGTATAATGTGGATATGAGCCAGTTCCATTTATAAAGTCCTCAGTTGAAGCTTTACTGCTTTAAGGCACAGAGCCATGAAATACACAAGAATATTAATTACGAGATTAACATCACTGGCAATGTAAATCACAATACTAAGCACAGAATTGTTATTGATGCCTATTAAAACATATAGCAATTTGATAATTATCTCAAAAGGTGACACGCCTACCAATGGCCAAGCACTAAAATTGCTGAACACGGGTAGTTCGGTTCGAATTGGCTGCATGGACGTTTTCACGATTTTTTTCTTTCTGTAACATGTATAGGAGCCATTTTCTCTTAGACACTTCAATGTGAAGGCATCCTTCCTTTGGCAGACAGCCCTTTGTCAAGTAAACTAAACCAAAAAGAAGTACTTCAAACGAAGCATAGATATTAAATTTTAAATAGTCCTATTTTGTTCTTAGGCTGTGAAATTATTTGGGTCGATGTGAAGGAAGGATACCATAAAACTGCACATAAAATGTTAATAAGATGGGAACACTGATTTCAAGAAATACATACATATATTGGATTTTTAGTAAAACCCCAATCATAAGTATTAACTAATGAATTTAAAAATACCTAATTTAACATAGCTCATCAGTCCTTAATCGTAAATAACGTCCATTAGCGGCTGAGCAGTAATGTCACTGAACACGAGTAGTTTGAGTTCTCCTCACATGTAACATGAATACGAGCCAGTTTTCTTTAAAAAGACTTCCAAGAAGGCACCGCTTCCCATACTGAGACAGACCTCCTTTGTTTTAATTAATCAACCATAGTCGTAAATAACAAATTGTTTTCCCTTTGAAAGTCCTCCACGAAAATTAAAGTTGTCTATCTTTATCAGAACATCTAACTGTGTCATTTCAAATCTTGATGTAGACAAAGAATCAGAAATTCTTATTTCCTTTTTTGAAATTTTTTGCATCACCCAGATCACCATCATATTTTTTTCACCTTCGTATAATGATTGCAAGGATTTTATAAAAAGCCATTTACATTTTTCTTCCACTAACAACTATTTTTCATAAATATTTACTCTTACCTGCTGAGACTTTTTTGTCCTAACCGTTTCGAAATTTGGAAATAAACATAACTTCATAACAGTAAAATATTCATAATTAAATATCATTTGGACCTTTTTATTCTATGGACTATTTCGAATAGGAATTTTATTCGATGGCATTTTCAGTAAAATGGAAGTATTTTGCTTAAAGTAAAAAATGCATCATATGATTTCATGTACTTTCAGTACTTATTTTATCAATGCCAAAAAGTGAGTTCATCAAATATATTATTTGTGAATGATTTTCATATCACGCCAAGGAAATTTCTCAGAAGTTCGTTTTAGATGAGAAATCAGAAGAGTAAAACGAATTTTTTTTTAAGGAAACGCGTCTTGTCCTCATATTTCAATAATAAAATGTCCATACTTCACATTCACACAACTAAATTTCGATGCAAACATATAGTAAATGATACATTAGTTTAAAATAGAATTACACAATTTGAACTCTTTCAAAAATCTCATTTTTTATTTCAGAACAATTATTCAAAATATATATTGAAGTAACTGTTTTTGTGAACTGTTATAGTAATTTAAACAAATACAGTAACTTTAATCAATGCGCACAGTTAAAATAAAACTTATATCCATTTTCTCTGTTTCTACAGTCAATGTAAGATACCTGTTTAAGTATTTATTTTATGCTAAAAGAATTTATTTGTAAATTAGGTGATGCTAAATTCTTTAAAAATTATTCATGGGTTCCGTGCTAATTGCATTTACTTTTGCAGCAGAAATTTTGTTTCACAAATTTTTCGCATACACATAGGTTTTTGTTGAAGGCTTTCCATTATTTTCCAGTTTCGGCATGAAAATCGCCCTCAGGTCAGCAGATGGTACGGCTGGATTTGATGTTTTTATTTATGACCCTCCCATTGTAACATCTTTCTCTAACGGTCGCTGTTTCACTACTACCAATTAAGCGCAACAGGAGGTCAGGGGAACGACAGTACAGAATATTCCGTCCTCAACGATTTCGAGACGAAAAATCTGAGGCACAAAAAATTATTTGAAATGCTTTCAGATCCATCAAGAGGTGACAAAATAATCCGTGTGTGATGATTTGCTAAGCCATCTTTCAATACAGAAAAATCCGTCTGTAACGCTAAGAGGGCACGATACAGCACATTTGGGATGACATCGACCAGCAGCTCAGAGGTCAAACGCCTTTATTTCAGAATACCTCGACTTTGTGTGACCGTTGCTTAAACATATGGTATAATCTGTCTCCAATTATCTAAAAAGAAGTTGTAGCATCCATGCCCAGGTGAGCTGCAGCTGTTTTTCAGGCCAAAAGTCGTGAAACGTATTATTAAATAGGTGGTCATAATATTTTGGCTCTACAGCCATATGGTAAAATTTCTGCAGGAATGCATTTGTCACAAATTTGGTAAAGGGAACAGTTGTTTTAACCTTGAGACCTTTTCTGCTTGGATGAGCCAGCAACTAGAGACAATTTCGACTACATTAGTGAAGAACTAACATAGGTTTAGCTTTAAATTTTCTAAAGCTTGAAGCCATATTTCTTTTTTCCTTCAAGCGAATGCTGAGACTAACTAAACTAAGAAAACAAGCCAAGCCTGGTCCACGAAAATACAACAGATAAGAATATCTTATCTCACATCGTAAATAAACAGATCGAGTTCCAAACGGCACAACGCACATTGGAGTGGATGCATCAAACCTCCCATGTGCAATAGCTGTGCCGCTCGAATAAACGCTTCATATTGACTGGGTGCAGTGCTTTACTTCGCTAGTGCATTCTCATTAGAATTGATGAATTTAACCCTTGATTTTGCCTTTTCTATATTTTCGCCTTCGGGTAAACGGTGTGGTTGCATCACAATTGACTCAATTACCGAGAATGGTCCATGTACATATCGACCTATTTTCACTTAAAAAGTCAAAGAAAATTGACAAAAATCCAATTCTTCTTACTCTTGTAAAAAGCGCCAAACAAATAAGGTGGCGATTCTGCACTTTAGCATAGAAATTGTTTCCAAATGCTTATTAGCTAAATCCCGATTGGAATTTCCCGGAAAATGTCACATTACATGTCTCATGATCGCTCATTTCTCTGAGACAAAATAATCTGTGATTCGAACTGTGTGCTTCTCAGATTATTGCTAAAGTCCTAGCTAGTAACCTTTATCGCCTTACCAAAATGTCGCCAAACTACCTGTTATCATATTCCAAACATTAGCCGATTAATTCAATGCTAGAAGCGCACACACACGAAAAAAGAAAAAATACCATTCACTGACTATTTTTGCTAACAACTCAATGTGATAAAAAGTTACTAAAAGGACACATTTTAAAGTAATACATAAAAAATATGCATAAACTTATGAACTAAAATATAAAGAATATTACCTTGGAATACTTCTGACACATATTTAATTACTTTAGTCAGTGCCGTTTCTACATTATACAAAGCATTGCCTGAGATACTTTGATCAATATTTTCCATGTATGTTGAAATCTGAAGTGGCACATAGACTGTCTCATGGACATGGCGGTGATGCCTACTTTTCATAATGTGACTGCTTGCAGGTATATCTTCAAGAACAATATCATCATGTAAACAGGTTCTTAAACTTCCATAGATAGTGTAGAAATGAATAATGAAAAGAAGATTTCCATAAAATGCCAGCAGTTTACACATTTTGCTAAAGTAAGAGAGAAAAAAACTTTTACATGTAAAGGAACAAGAATTGGATATAAACAAAATGAAAATACTTGGCATATAATTACATGAATCAATTCCAAAATCAGGAAAGATAAGTGTGCACAATTTAATCTGGAAAATATGGTTATATTTGTTTTAACTACGAGATTGTATTACAGGAATTGATATGTTTTATATAACAGAGGAGCCAACCTGAATTGGCTTCTTCAGCAGAAACTTCATTATAAACAGAAATTCGAATTTTTTTTTCTCACGCATCGAGAATTAAGTCTGGAGTTAATTAAATTTCAGTCTAATAGAAAAAATCAAATTATTTCATTGTGTAGTGCAAAATAATACTGCAGAGAAAACCTGAATGAAACATTTTTTCTACACGATAATCAATAAATGGAAAAGCAATAAAAATTTCTCAGTCACACTTACTTATCGAAAACAATATGTTCATGATTAAAAGCTAGCTGTCAAATAAAAATCTTCGTGAACTTCATAGTGATAACAAATGCTTATGTTAATCATAAAGAATATCTTATGCAGGTGTTATTTACGCAACCCAACAGTATTTAAATATACTGACAAGAGTTATCAATACCATTCTGGGCATGCAAAATATGAAAATCGACGGAAATAAATAATAAACAATCAAATGTTACGCGCACAAAATATATTGCCAGATCAAATTACGCGCGTAAGTAATACATAACAGGAATTTTCAATCTTTTTGACCCCAAGCCAAAGCATAGACGTTCTTTGCTCAAGCACCCCCCCACCCCATCTAATTTTATAACCCTCACTCCTTTCCAAACCTTGAAATATATATATATATATATATATATATATATATATTTATATATATATGTTTACAATTTCCTCATATCGAACATACCGAATGGGGAATGGAAATATTAAATCACAATTTTGAAATAAATTTAGAAGAAATGGTTTGCGTAAAAAAAGAGGAACAAATGCGAAAATATTACAGAACTGATGTGAGGGGGACAAAAACTGAAAAACTGATGTGAAAAATTTTTTTGTTGTTGTTGCTTAGCCTCGAAAGATCTAACATATGTCAGCTCCAGAAGGTTATTGACAGCCAAAACATTTGTAATAATCAAAGACGTTAGAATAGTCTATTCTAATCTCCTTGGTAATAATAAGGGGATAACAAATTTCTACCAATGTTGATACTAGTTAGTTAGTACTACGTAGTCTCTTTCAGTTGTATATTTATTACGATTGTAATTTGGCAACATGGAATACAGTATTTTTATTTTGGAATGTGAAGATCGTGTAACACGTCTTGTTGAAAATACTAAGCTCTCGGTAACTTTGAAACTTCATGTAGCATATATAACCTGATTGCGTAAATTCTTATTTAAACATGTACATATGTTCGGGTAAGGGAAGCACTTCCGGAGAGAACCCGGTGAATGTAAACATTGCCAAATTTGGCGATAATAGTTAAAATCTGGTAACCCAGCGGATTCAACCTATTCGCTTGTTGCAACCATTCATCTTGCGTCCATTTTGTTTCGTTATCACTGTGGTTCTTCGCATTTGCAGATTTCTATTATTCTTCTTTTATTTATTACTTTTTTTCTTAATTTTTTAACAACGAATAGATAGAAATATTTTCGTAGATCCCGGTTCTCGGTTCGGGATGAAAGGAAGAAAATAAAGCGGGAGGGGTGAATGCTAATTTGTAACACGGCTGTTCACGTTGTGTTCTTAATATTAACAGCTGTACGCACGCAGAACTATGAGGTTCGAAACGCTCAAATAATTCGTTTTCGTACTCCGCAAAAATGTGCGTTTTAAAATTAAGTAATGCTTTTATTTTTATTATTGTTTTTCTCACCTAAAACTATGATAATAAAATCAATTTTTATGGCGTAAAATTGTAACAATATATTGTTAATGCTTTTCTACAATAACCTTTCAGGATGGCAGGTGTGCAGTGTGACATAAATAGATATTAAATTTTAATAATAAATACTATTTATTACTGATTATCTGTGACAAAATAGTTTGATGTATTCCCATGGTCATCAAAATTAGCAAAACCACTGCTGGTGTAAGGAATATAGTTCAAATGACTCTTGAAAAGTAATGAAATGTGTAATGTTCAAGTTTTATTAAACAATGCTACTGAAGAAAATTTGATTACTGTTGAAGGTTATTAGTATTGTGAAATAAATTATGAAAAGGATGGGTATTTGTTCAATGTAAATTGCTTAAACCTGCATGCAAGTAACATTAAAAAAAAAAAAAAAAAAAATACTGAAAACTGTTAATCAGAGTTCATACACATTTCTGCACACAGAATTAAGGGACCATTAATGAAAAAAAATTCAGGACCTATGAGTAAAACGCGAACTGAATAAATTCAATTAAAAATATTAGCGATGCCTGCATTTCACATTTGTAATACCATCCTAAAAATAAAATAGATCCATAAGTAGTATGTATTATTACTAAACATGAATTAACATAATTATTAATAAGTTTGAAAATGAAATAAACTTTAAGTAATTGATCAAGTAGCATTAAATATTTTACACTTATAATAGTTGGGCATATTTGAAAGAAGTGACATTTTACATGTTTACTAACTTTATGTAACTTTTTTTTTGTCTCATAATGTCACATACTTGGTCAGGCTAGCGGTTTAGTAAGTAGCAGGTTGATTTTATGTCAAATGGCATAGTTTAAAATGAGAAAGTATCATAATCAGCAAAATTCATAACAAAAGTTAATAATTTAATAATTAATTTCTGTTTAAAATTTAATACCAATTTATTTCCGTATATCACGTTTAACCTGTTAGTTTTACATCTACATGCTTATTATCTGTGAATTTTTACTACCATATGCTTAATATATTGTTTAGTCTGCTAACTAGAATTTACATGCACTAAAAATCACGTTTACAAAGTATCACGTTTACGGCTCGCCTCAAGCGTCGATGAAACGCGAGCTTGGCGAGTAAAAATGGAACGGCGCCAACGGGTTCGCTCCCGAAGCGCCAACGGGTTCTCTGCGGATGAAAACCCCGGGTAAGAATTCATATTTGTATGAAATACAGCAATTTCAATCTATTACTATAAATCAAAATATGCTTATATCACATATATTGGGTGACCCTTGCCCACAAATTGTATTCATATTTTAAATAAGATAGTCGCATGTATTTGCCAAAGGCACCGAAAGTTAGTAAGAATTAGGTAGCATGTCATTTAGACAAAAGGGCAGTTTAAGCAAGCAAGTGCTTCTTCACACAGGACAGAAGCCTCATGTATGTGAAGTATGTAAAATGACATTTGGTAATGAAGGTACTTTAAGCGAGCATATGTGTATTCACACAGAAGAAAAACCTTATGTTTCTGAAATATATAAAGTGCCATTTAGTCATGAAGGTACTTTAAACGAGAATATGCGAATTCACACAGAAGAGAAACCTCATGTTTCTGAAGTATATAAAGTGACATTTAGTCGTGAAGGTACTGTTGATGAGCATATGCGTATTCACACAGAAGAAAAACCTTATGTTTGTGAAGTATGTAACAAATCCTTCAGGTGTAAGGCTAGATTAAAAATGCATATGCCTATTCATACAGGAAAGAAAGCTCACATGTGTGAAGTATGTAATAAGTCATTTCTTCTAAAGTATACTTTAAAGAAGCATATGCTTATTCACACATTAGAGAAACTTCATTTGTGTGAGATATGTAACAAGTCATTTAGACAAAAAGCAGGTTTAAACAGGCATGTGTTGATCCACACAGGAGAGAAACCTCATGTGTGTGAAGTATGTAATAAGTCATTTGGAGAAAGGGGTAATTTAAAGCACCATATGCTTACTCACACAGGGGAGAAACCTCATGTGTGTGAAGAATGTAACATGTCATTTGGACATAAAGGTACTCTAAATGACCATATGCGTATTCACACAGAAGAGAAACCTCATGTGTGTGAAGTATGTAACAGGTCTTTTCATAAAAAATATAATTTAAATCAACATATGCTTATTCATACATTAGAGAGACCTCATGTGTGTGAAATATGTAGCAAATCATTTAAACATAAAGCTACTTTAAATCGGCATATGCTTATTCACACATTGGAAAGACCTCATGTTTGTGAGATATGTAGTAAATCATTTAGACATAAACGTACTTTCAAACGGCATATGCTAATTCACACACAAAAAAATCCTCATGCGTGTAAATTATGTAAAGAGTCATTTCGACTAAAAGGTGCTTTAAAGAAGCACCTTCTTATTCATACGGGAGAGAACCCTTGTGTGTGTGAAGTATGTCATAAGTCCTTTGATGAAAAGTATAGTTTAGGCAAGCATAGGCTTATTCATGCATTAGAGAAACCTCATATATGCGAGTTATGTAGGAAGTCATTTAGACATAAAGATACTTTAAACCAGCATATGCTTACTCACAGAGAACAGTAACTTCACTTGGGAGGTTCGTAAAAGTCATACTAAAGTGTGATTTAAATCAGTTATATGTATCAACGCAGGAGAGAAATTTCATGAGTTAATATATATAATAAATAATTTAGACAAGAGTAAATCTGTGGAAATGTATATTTATCTGTAAAGAAATAAAGCTTCATTCTTTTAAGGAAAAGCTTCATTTATAAGAACTTATAAATGCTCTAAGGATACCACAAAGAAACACCAGAGAAAGTGCAGAATCACCCACTGGTTGACGCATTTTTAAGAATTGCACATACTCGGTATCCATGTACACATCGACCTATTGGGTTGGCAACTAAGTAATTGTGGATTTCACTCATAGATGGTTTCAGTTGAATTTTTAGGGTTGCAGATGTAGTAAAAATGTAAAACACATTTTGTTATTTGATAGTTGGCAATTCAGCTGTCAATCAGTAAAAAAAGTTTTTTGATCGGTTGCATAGTTTTCGTTTGGCGTTCGTTGAAAAATGGAAAATCAAAAGGAACATTTTCGTCATAGTTTGCTTTTTTATTGCCGCAAAGGGGAAAACGCATCGCAAGCTCATAAAAAGTTATGTGTTTGTGTGGTGACGAAGCCTTAAAAGAACGGCAGTGTCAAAATTGGTTTGCCAAATTTCGTTCTGGTGATTTTTCACTCAAAGATGAAAAACGCTCTGGTCGTCCAGTTGAAGTTGATGACGACCTAATCAAAGCAATAATCGATTCGGATCGTCACAGTACAACACGTGAGATTGCAGAGAAGCTTCATGTATCACATACATGCATTGAAAATCACTTAAAACAACTTGGCTATGTTCAAAAACTCGATACATGGGTTCCTCACGAACTGAAAAAAACGCATTTAACGCATTAACAGCTGCGAGTTGCTAAAGAAACATAATGACATTGATCCATTTTTAAAACGACTGATAACAGGCGATGAAAAATGGGTTGTTTACAACAATATCAAGCGGAAAAGATCGTGGAGCAGGCCAGGTGAACCAACTCAAACAACATCAAAAGAAGGTTTTTATTATCAGTTTGGTGGGATTACAAAGGAATTGTCTACTTTGAACTCTTACCACCCAATCGAACGATCAATTCTGATGTCTACGTTGAATAACTAACGAAATTAAACAATGCAGTTGAAGAAAAGCGGCCTGAATTGACAAATCGAAAAGGTGTTCTATTCCATCATGACAATGCAAGGCCACACGCATCTTTGGTCACTCGGCAAAAATTATTGGAGCTTGGTTGGGATGTTTTGCCACATCCACCATATAGTCCTGACCTTGCACCATCTGATTACTTTTTGTTTCAATCTTTACAAAACTCCTTGAATGGTAAAAATTTCAATAATGATGATGATGTCAAATCGTACCTGATTCAGTTTTTAGCTAATAAAAACCAGGCGTTTTATGAACATGGGATTGCAATGCTACTACCTGAAAGATGGCAAAACATCATTGATCAAAATGGGTAATACATCACAGAATAAAGTTATTTAGTTCCATGAAAAAATTGTCTATGATTTTCTAAAAAAAATCCGCAATTACTTAGTTGCCAACCCAATATTTTCACTTAAAAAACATCCCACAATTGCACAAAAATGGCATTGTGCTTGACTTTATCCATGTATACATTGACCTATTTTCACTTAAGAAGTCAAAGAAAATTGACAAAAATCCAATTCTTGTAAAAATTGCCAAACAAATAAGTGGGTGATTCTGCATTTTAGTTAAAACACGACTATGGTAGGTAATTTGTCAATTGATTAAAATGCTAGTAATAACTTGAGAAACATTTCAGTGCAAGTAAGAATTATGTGCAAAATTTGTTTTACATTTTTATTAATGTACAGTCAAAAGTCGTTAATTCAGACACCCATAATCCGGACCTCAAAGCTAAAAACTTTCTGTGCATGCGTCTCGTTCACGCATGCACGTAAGACCTTTACGGCTGCGAATATGCGTATGTGAAGGCTCAAAATACGTTTACGCATTCACGTTTAATGTATAACAGATGGTATAAGCTAAGCTAAAATTATCTAATTCAGTTAATGTTGAAGATTGCGTTGTTCCTTAATCTTCGAATTGGATCTGGCTTATTATTTTTTGCAGACTGTTAGAGCAATTTTATAAAAGTAAGCTTGAACTTTTGATTATGTCAAATAGAATTTCCGGTACTTTTCCGTTTCGCCAGCGCAAATCTCGCCAAGCAGACTTTGTTGGCGACAACATACAGTATACACATAAAAAATGTTAATTCTAAGAATTTTTTTTTTATTTTCAAGGCATAAACATTTTAATATGGTTTAAAATTTTGTACAAAGCCAATAAATTTGTAAAGAGACATTAATTTAAGAATTTACTATGATTTCATGGTTCAAAATTCTGATTCGTCGGTTCGTATCACGTGACCCCAAGTGATCTCATCTCACGTAAACTACGTTACTAAAATCTAATTCTCTCAGTAATTATCTACATTAATTTCAAGTTAAATCTTAATTTGGAATACAAGTTTAAATGCAAGAATTATTTCAATTCGTAAGAATAGCTTACTCAGAAATTACGTAAAACCGCAGTGCTTTACTTCGCTAGTGCATTCTCATTAGAATTGATGAATTTAACACTTGCCTTCGGATGAGCGGTGTAATTGCGTTCTAATTGTCTTAATTACCGTGAATTGTCTTAGGGGATAAAATTTAAATATCGTGTAAAAATTCTATATTATTGTATGCCAGTAGTGAAAGAAACAATCTGATAAGAAATGGCTGCAACTTGTTTTGAAACTGAGGCGTAAAAGGTTACCAGCGAAGATATTCCGTCTGGTATCAGTTAAACCATTATTGGCGACTTTATCGTTTGCGCCGGCAAAACGGAAAAGTACCGAATTTCCGATATATATTTACTAATACGTAAAGGATCTACAAAGTGAAAGTATGTTTCGAATTCCATTAAACAAAAAGTGGAATTGCTGGAAAAAATGGATAAAGGCATATCCTTTGTTTATCCAACCATTCCGAAATCTGTTTACGCTGCTCTGTGGCGGGGGGGGGACACCACGGCGCACAATGAATTGGAAGTTGATCTGTCAGCACTATCCTTATCTTCAGAGCAGATGTTTTTATTTTATTTGGCTTATAATTCCTTCTTACTAAATGTAGTATTTCATCTCGCTGTACTCCGTCTTTGATATGATTTAAATCAAATTCCTCGTCATTATAATTCGCTTCCGATAGTGAAGAAAGTAAAGTAAACAAATAAGTATTAAGCTTTTTTTTTTTTTTTTTTTTTTTTTTTTTTGAAATTTTTGATACCCTTTAGATCATAATTGTTCATTATTTCATAAATTACGGTTTAATATTTTTAATTTTAGAATTTCTGCATGCCATCTTACCAGATTTAAACTGATGATCTATAATCCGGAATCGGCGAAGTCCCGATGAGTCCGTATTAACGACTTTTGACTGTATATTTATATATACACTTCATTTGTCTAGTGTAAATCTGTTGCCAAGCAGTACTATTAAGTGCCCGTGATAGATCAAAGTATTTTCATAACACACTCAATCTCTTCACTTTCATTTTATGTAAGTTTTAATTTATGCTTCATAAGCGAATTTTGTTTTTCTGAGGAAGGATGTAAATTAACTGCTGTTGTTTTATTTTTCTCTTGTATTTTGAAAACAATAATTTGAATTTGGGACCTGCATTCACTAGAACAGCAAATTTCATACATTGACATATTTTTAGAGTTCTGGGATTATGTCGTCAAATATAAGTATGTATATATGATTATATGGTACTTGAGAAGAGCTAAAAAGTGGCAGTGCAACAGTCAAATATCCATTTGAAAAGTTTTTAATTTGAAGGCTCTAAAATTACATTTGTGCCTGCACTCCAGTTGTTTAACAGCAGCATGTCGAGAGAATTACCATTTCTTAAATGGAAGAAAGAAAATATGAATGTGGTTAACAAGACACTAATTGGCTGGAAAAATTATCTACACAGTCTCTATTTGTTAATTGTGGAACTAAATAAAGAATGATTTGTGATTATTTATTGAATAAAGAAGCATCTATACCTCCAGATTTCCTCAGAAAGAATTGGGATAAGATCTCTGCCTGCTTTTACAATCAGTGGAAGAATACCTAGTATTTTTCATATAACGATGAAAGAAACATTTTGAACGTGCAAGAATGCACATGTCCTTTGTAAGAAATGTGACAGTTTCTATTTGTAACCCACGAGCAGTTTTCAAATATTGCCAAAAATTAGCATTGTAAGAAAGTGAAGATTAAAACATTTCTTAATTCATTGGTAGTTCAGTTCATAATCAGGGTCAGTGGAATCCCATTGGGAGCCAGAATTTAGGGACAGCGAAAATTTTAGAATTAAGTGAAGCTTCAAGCAACAAAATTTAGGGACGGCAAAATTTTTAGAATTAAGGGCATGGACTGGCCAGCAGAATTTAAAGGCATTTAGAATTTATAGAAGAACTGAGAAGCAGAATTTAAGACCTACCATGATTGCATGAAGCAGAAGAATGCTAGTGCCGGCCATGCCAAGTATGATGTAACATTGGTATTGAATGGAAACTGGCTAGATTTGCCACTTTCGGACTATTTTTGTGTGTTCACAGATGTTTGCAAAACAGGACTGTCACAGAAATAACTAAATTTTGCTATATTGTATTAAAATTTTTTTAATAATATTTATTGAAGTAACGATGATGTATTTTAATCTGCTTGTTTTGTTTAATAAAACCTAGTTATTTCAGTATTAAAGCTGTAATTAAACTTCCTTGTAAATTATTTACATTCTTGATAGCAAAATAAGTAGAAACATTGAAATTACCAAGATATTTGTACAGTCAAAAGTCGTTAATTCGGACACCCATAATCCGGAACTCAAAGCTAAAAACTTTCTGCACATAGACGTTTACGCGTGCGCGTAAGACCTTTACGACTGCGCATATGTGTGTGCGCAACC